AAGAGTTGCAGAACCAGGCTGTGAACAGACAGACAACAACCGAACACACAATAAATCCAGAAGGTGGAACAAATTATGTCATTACTTTTAGGTAGATTTTTAGGATTTTGTTGTTGTTGATGCTCAGTTTTGTTTTGATAATGGACTGGTAAGTAGGGCTGGGTGGGAGAGTTTTCCTGTCCTGCAAGAATTTTCAAGATTTTAAAACATTTTCCTGTCCCAAATCTGAACAAAAAGATGAAATCTCAAGAAGGTTTTGCAAACTGACCAGCCACAAAAGAAAATTGATTTGAGTCAATTGAACAGTTTTGTTTTGATAATTCTGACATGTTTCATTTCAATTTTAACTTTTTTTCTTTTTTAAATCTTTGTTTGTCTAAATTTACAAAAATGTCAGCACAAAGTCATTTCCTATCAAATCCCCACAGCTTTTTCATTTTGACAATGTTGAAACAAGGATATTTTTTTCAAAAAAAACTGGGCCTGTTTCACAAACAGTTTAATTTCAATTAATCAGACTTTTGAGCCAAAAAAACCCCACCAAAAAACAGTCAAAGAAATACCAACCAGCTGTACTGCTAACAGCATTTTTAGTAGCATTGTTTTTTGTGATCCTTCTAGGCTGTGTATTTCTTCTGTACCTGTAATTCATTGTACTTTCACTTCATCTCATTCCAAAAACACTTCATATCACTCTATGGAAAGCCACCATATTCTTTCTTACTACCCTGTTTTTTTTTAATATGACCCAATCTAAGTGCCCTTCGTTAAGTTCACTACGTGCCTCTCATAACATTTGGCAGGTGGACTTTATGACCCCAGGCCAAGCCCAACAATCTAACTTTTCTTTGTCCATCAAACAAATTACATATAATTTGCCATGGCTGGCCATCTCTTTTGTTGTAGCTGATGAAGCACCAATTCACTTAGGATGCTGTTCCTCTGCATAAAGCTAGTTCTTTACACAATATCTGTAGTGTTCTGCTGTAAAACTACAGTAAATGTTACATAGTGCCAACTTGTCAGTCAACTGAGATAATAAATATAGCTGTTGTTGTCTGAGTGCCATTAAAGACCTTGGCTCAATTATAAATAAAAGGACCACTATATAAGAATGCATAGGATTTCTTGTCTGACTAATGGCATGCTAAAGCCCCCCAATCTCCCACTGAATAATCCTGTATGTTAGTATGAGGTCACAGGAGGCAAAGGTATCTGGTCATTTTTATTTTATTTCTTCATGAATCTGTAACTGACTCTTGGGCTAGAATGGAAGCATCACAGGCCATCAGAATTTTTTGTTAAAACTGGTTAAAATGAACAAAAATTGTAGCTGAGGTCAAATAGTTCTTTTAGGCCTGGATGCAAAAAAAGATTCCAAAGCCATGGAGTCTCCGTGGCCAGTAATAATAAGGAGACTGGTTCCAAATTATCTATGCTGTAGGGAGAAAGTTACCTAAGAATTTTTATCCAAAGAAAGGAGGCAAGAGGGATGATGATCTGTTCTGTATTAAATGTCAAACCAAAACCACATTTTCCTTAACACAATCAAAGCTGAGTATTTGGAATTGACCCTTGTCTAAAATCAGTGTTACAAGGAGTAGATCCAAGTGTGCAAAGACATTGTGAACTGGCTGTGTTGAATCAGCTATTGTTCAAAAAGATTATTAGTTGATCACTGCACAGAAATAACATCAGGAACATAGTTTCATTTCCACAGACTGAGCACCTCCCTGATTGTCTAGTTTGGCCAGTACTTTAAACCAAAATATAATGCATGAAATAGGTCCAGATTAAGAAAATTAGCATCTTCCCAGCCACAACCATTGAAACATAATACTACCTATCCCTGTCCTACCCATACTTGAATGATTCTGTAACCTTAATGAATCCTGTGGCCATGGCCTATGAGATTTGAAATTTGGAATAAAACCTTTCAGACTTCTAAATGGGTGCACTATATTCAGACTCTAACCATTGTCAATCATTACAGTAATGGCACTGCCGGTTTATTATATCTGAGAGCCAACAGACTTGATTGGTGGTAGTTTAATACCTCAGGAATCATTATCTCAGTGACCATCAGTTGCTGTATGATCTCCTTTAACATGCATGCAATGGCAACATACAAGCTTCTTCAGCATCAGGCACAGAGCTGAGCCCATGATGTATGAGGAAGGGCTGCTGTTGCCAAATAACTTCCAATCTCATGGCTGTTAACTGTTTGGTGCACTTAATCTGTACTTGTTAAACGGCTGTGGTAAATCCTAGTTCAGAGAGCGAGACAAGTATCTAGACAATCTCAAGAGTAGCTTCCATCTGTCTGCCTTACCCTGTATGTGCTGTGTGAGTATCAGGGCCTTTGGTCCCAGTAACATCTGGTTCTGGTTATATGCATCCTGCACGTTCTCACTTAATTGAGCCCACATGAGTTCACGGTGTATAAAGCCCTATGGGTGAAATGCTGGCCCCGTTGAAGTCAATGGCAAAACTATAAGTGCAAAAGGAATTACTTCTAGATCCCATAAAGCTGATGCAAAATGAGTGTGGGGTTTTGATTAATTTCTGAGCTGACTGGTAAAAGTTAAAACACAATGACAATATACTAACAATACTTAAAGGGATAGAGCTTCAACTAGGATAAATCAGAAAATCTTCAATGGCACCATGCTGATTTACTTCAGCTGAGTCTCTGGCCCAGATGTCCAATACTCTTTGTTACCACTGTCTCATTCACATCTGCAATTTCGAACACTTCAGATACCCTCTGGCCCTCCACAAATTATTCATATATGAGAAAAAATGTCAGGATCAAGAAAGGCATTAGTGGTTGTAGCACTGAGTCCAATAGCCGTAACTACCAATAAATACTATGTCAGAAATCACATGAGCACAGAGCGGGCTGTTTCATTTCAGCAAACACAGCCAACCAGATGCATATGTCTGCTCTCTTGTTCAGCCTAAATGGATGGATCAGTCTAAACACTGATATACCTAACACAACCCCTTATGCATCTGTGATCTTAAATTAGTGAATTAACTTCAAAACAACCTTCCTGCTCCAAGCAACAAACTTCCTATTTACAACTAAAAAATAAAGAAGAGGAGGAGGAGGAGTATTCTCAAAATAATTATTGAAATCCAGGCAAAAGACCACATGCTACCCTGACTTAACCCTTGAAATGCCACTGACTTCATAGTAATTCTAAGAGGTGAAAAGCAGGGCATAATTTGGCACAAAAAGTTTTAGGGGGAGGTTTTTGTGTTTTGTCTTCAGTGTTCACTTTACATTTGCTTTGGGCCTGATTCTAATCTACTTAGTCTATGAGTGGTCAGATTGAAGTTAATGGACCTGATCCTCAATTAAAGAAAGACTATTTTGCGCTACTCTGGCAGTGTACGAGGATCTTCATTACATTTATGTCCACTTTCAGGCCCCTTTACACTGCCAGAGATGTACAAAGTAACCTTAAGATAAATTAAAATCAGGCCCAATAGGACTGCATGTAGAGTAAGGCATGACTCAACTTGGTAAGGGTATCAGAATCTGGTACTTTATATAAAATCTAAATGTATTTAGGATGGAGCCAATCAATCTCTCTGTCAAAGGAGTTAAGAAACAAAAGCTGATTTTGTTACTTGCATTTTTTTAATTAATTAAATAAAAGGTTTACATCATGCGTGATCATTAAAAATGTAAAGCTTAATTCATAAAAAGAAACCTTAAAGTTTTCATTTAGCCATGGGGTGACATTTAATGAACCCTTAAACCATAGCAGAGCTGGGCATAAGCAAGGGGTTCTGACCAATGTGGGGAGGACCATTCCATATGAAGAATAATTTCTGTGCTATGTGAAGGAATGAAGAACAGAAAATGAAATCTGAAAACAAATAATAATAATAATAATGGGGCAGATCCTCTGGGGTAAATCGCTGTACTTCTGTCAAAGTCAATTGAATGATGCAGATTTACACCTGCTCAGAATCTGGCCCAATATTTTTAATTCTTTTACAGAATTTGATATTTCCTTCCTCTTACATTTTCCTTGTTAGGCAGTTCAAAATAATGTCATCTCTTAAGCTATTATTTATATTTTACCATTATTCTGTATCTACTTTTTCCCTGTTATAGTAACAAAAGGTTTTTGTCATCAAAAAAGATACTAAGTCAAGGACACAAACTTTCATATCACCACCCAACACCTCTTCAAAACCCACCTGGGTACACAGTTTGATGCTCAGTGTAGCTGTAAAGTATTTCTGTCTGACAAAATTAGACTTTTTAAAAATACTCTGGTGCATTTCTTACAGAGTAAAATATAATCTACACTATAATCAGCTCTTAAATACCATATTTCAATAAATGTATCCTCAGCAAGATGTTTTGCACTCCATATAAAACAATTCAAAACACACAATAAATATATATCTGGAGAGAGGGAGAGGATACAAGAAAGATAATTAAACCCAAGGTGAAATGTGGTGGATATGATACTGAGAAAGCAATAACCATAAGACAGAGGCAGATTGGATCCATCTAGGGAAATCAAATATACCCTATGTCTCTTTATATAATGAAATGATAGGCATCGACAATAGCCAAGTTTAGCACTGTGTCTCATATTTTAATAAAAACCCATATGGCATGATGCTCTGCAGTTTAAGTTACTTGCAGTCATGCCTTTATAGAAGTGGTTTATGTACTGATTGAAAAGACTTGCATTTACAGCATCTGACAAATCACCTCCAAGTCTAGAGAGTGTTTGCAGCAATTTACAGTCGATCAGTGCTTTGGTCTTATACTATTCGATTCAGTACAGCATAAACAATATAGATTAACAAGCCATGTTTCCTATTGCTTTTCTTAAATATGTGCCTGTTTTGCCTGTTAAACATGAAAAAGTATTTTGGAAAACCTGCTGGTTAAACCAAGGTCATGCCCTGAGCCAGCGTTCCCAGGTTATGTGGCAGTGAATACGCATTACCATGAGATTACTTACCTCTCTTTTGTCTAGTAAATTCATGGCATTCTGAGGATGAAGCCAATCAGAATTCGCAGTTCAGCAACCTGTCAGCCCCAACTTCAAACTGAGATTAAACGCAGATAAAACAAATAGACTTTTTAAGGAAATGGAAATGCCAAGTAATGGAATTTTGTGGTTGTATACAGCTGGATTTATTTCAAACCCCATGCACATGGCTAAAATGAGATCATGTTCCCAATGGGGAAATGCTGGGCGGGATAGTGAATACAGTATTATATTCCCTGTTGTACAGCCTGTTCATGACCACTCAGGCCCCAATCCCACATAAGCTTAGGGACTTGTGTAAGCAGCCCGGCGGAGTTGAATGCAACTACTCACATGCATGGTTACTAATGTGCATAAGGACTTGCAGGATTGAGGCCTTAGACTTAGTCTGTCTTTGAACTAAATGGATTCTGTGGCCTTCTCACTGTCAATACTCCTCTCACCAGTAATGCTGCATGGATTCTCTCCTTCATTATAAAAACAAATATTGGACATTATTACAGTTATCAAAACCAGATGTACCACTCTCTGTGGCAGTTATTGGATAGTGTCAAACCTTGCAACTTCAGCTTCAGTTTGGTGCTGCTATTTAATAAAAATGAGCCACAGAACTGATCGTGAAGTTTAAATCCTGGCCAAACTTTAAAAGCTGTCTTTTTGAGAGAGAGAGAGAGAGAGAGAGAGAGAGAGAGAGAGAGAGAGAGAGAGAGAGAGAGAGAGAGAGAGAGAGAGAGAGAGAGAGAGAGAGAGAGAGAGAGAG